GCTCGCTATACTGTCTACAGCACAGTTTTAATATTACTAACCAGAAAAGCAGGTGTATTTGTAAATCAAACACAAGGAGCTTAATGGTATATTATAATTCAATTTTTTACTTAAATTTTTAGTAAACTTAAAAAGAACTGCGCTGTTTAGAGATGGGGAAAGGACAGTGAAAGAAATGGTTCTTCTGGTGCTTTTATTTCAGGGAAAGAGGCAATGAAAGAGAGAGAGAAAGAGACTGTGGAGCCGCCATCATCTGAATGAATGCAAATTGGTGCTGCCTCCATCCGGCATCATGCCAAGTATCTATAGCAACCACATCCTCTGACAGCCTCCATCCATCCCTCCCTCCTTCACTCTCTCGGCCTAATTAGTCCTCTATCTTCCCTATAGCTCTTTTCTTCTGGTGTTTTTTTCCTCCCACTTTCCCAAAAATCTTTGCACAAAGGAGTGTGGACCGAGCTTCCTGCCCGGTTTAAGAAGCGAACCCCTTTTTTAACCTAATTCAGAAAGATGCACAGGAACACAAACACCCAAAAAATCAACCTTAAATAAAATAGGTCATTTCTTTCTAGAGACCTCAGTGCCTTTAAATCTACTCTGAGATGATCAGGATTATAATAATTGTCCCCCTTTTTTCAATTTGTTGGGTCTGTTCTCAGTATTGCGGGGGGTTTTTTCCCCCCCTTCTTTCATGTGTTGCTGCGTTCACGGTCAAGTTCAAAGCGGCAGAGCGGCCTCGGGCGGAGCAGCAGCGCCATCTGACCCAGTACACCTGCTATCTTTAGCCCCAAGAGCCGGGCTGCACCGCCACCTGCTGACCGACGTGTATTCCTGCAGCAGAAGGCGCTCAACCATTCATAGGGAAGCAGCGCCCTCGAGTGGTGATTAAATGTCATTACACGATAAACAGGCGTGAGAAGATCCATAAATATTTGGACAGACTAACATTAGTTTGAGTTATTGGATTGGTCACTAATTAGCTAACTCAGTGTTAAACAAGGACAATAAAACTAAATAGCAGCCTAGGGAGATCACTTTTGAAAAACAAGGATATACGTTCCACTATCACTCTATTTTTTATGAATAAAGACTGTGTGGAGGCCAGGCTGTTTGAATCCGCTGCATCAGTGTTACCAAACGGCTAAGCTGGAGTCAGACAATAGTTTTTCTTTATGCACAGGCTGTGGTCAGCTGAGCTGCTGCTCTGAGATTTACTGTTCTTTGTGACTTTACACCACTGAATTCAACAAAATGTAAGGAGACGTTTCACGAGCCATCTTTCCCCAACACTGTTTATACTATCTTTGTTGGTAAAAAGGCTGAATTCAGTAAATGAATCTGAGTATCATCAACTTCAATTCAAGTTCTTAATATGTCCTCACTCTGACCATGAACACCACAGAAAACAGTCCAACACAGTGCTATACTGTTAATTCACCACAGCAAGCTAGCCTGTTTATCCTGCTCCAAACTGCCAGTATTTTAATAATACATAGTTAATACAGCCCAGTTTGTTTTACAGGACGTTTCACAATAAGAAAAAAAATAATATATCAAATCATGTGGAGTTCCAATATCTGATTTAAGAATGATAACATTACATGTTTTACATTTCCAGTTTATCAAATGAAACTGAGCAGTCTTACCTTTAAATATAATCTTTCTTCTTCCTCTCCAGTACTGTCTCTTACTTCGTTCACTCTGTGAAACAAAGGAGTCGTCTCTTTAGCTAGCGTGGTAAACTGCACAGAAACTGTTTTTGTTATCTGATATTTGATGAGCTGTTAGAAATGTTGCATTTGAAATTACCAGAAACTTAAAAATGTTACCCCACTTAAGCTAGCTCTTCTTCTGTACCAACAGCTAGCTAGATGCTGAAGTGCAACAACCACAGCTTGGACAAAAACAGCCCTACAGATCGTTTGAGGCACCTTTTCTTGACAAAGAAACACACAGATGTTAGTGTTGAATTTGTATATGTTTTTACTGTAACTATAAGTAAGTCTAACCCTAATGCGATGGCGGTGCAAGTGAAGGTCATCATTAGGCTAAAAACTTAAGTCTATCCGAGAGACAGTAAAAAATGTAAGATCAACCAAATCATTAACCTGGTTTGTGCTGAAAAAAGAAGAAATGCACTCATCAGCTCATCAACACCAAAGTGCCCCAAAGACCAGGGAAGACAACTAAAGTGCATGAAGACAGAATTATTGAATGTTAAGGAAAAACAACAACATCCAATCATGAGACACCTTCGTGAATCATGAATGTAAATACAACAGGTAAAAACCACTGGTTACACGCAAGAATAGGAAGGTCAGATTATACTTATAGTTTATCATTATACAAATGATTCAAGTGATTCATTGGTTTCGTAAGAAATTTAAATATGCAAGTAGCTTAACAGGTTAGGAGACCAGAATCTATGAATATGTAAATAGTTTAGATTTGAGTCCGTTTTCATCAGGTTTGCACATCACACGTGTTTGAGACCGAAATTAGCTTTTCATAAGCAGGTATAGCTCTTCAATTCACTGTTTAGGTTTTTATAACTCTGCACCGACATCATGCTGACCAGCAAATGTTAAATATCCCCCTAAAAAAAAAAAAAAAAAAAACTCAGTTTGAGGGGGAAATTCTTTAATATCAATCCAAACAACACTCCAAGCACAAAAATACATCAGTCTGGGACATTAAACCAAAACTAATGATCACAAATCAATGTGTTATCAACATTGTAGACTCTGATGTTACAGACGCATCATCATCGTCACTACAGGCCAGACACAGGTTGTGGTTATCAGTAGCTATGTTGACATTCAGTTGGCACAAATCACTAGAATTTAACAACCAGCTGTTGAGTCACATCTGCACCCAAACTGGAAAAACAACAACAAAAAACACCACAAGATAATCGGCTGTGACACACAAAGTAGAGTTATAAGTCTACATGTACGGGTTAAAACAATTAACATTTGATTTTACAAGAGGAAACAAAAAACACTCGCACCAGAGTAAGTCGTTGTAGTGTGTCAGTATTTGTTCTTGTTACACGCCTGTTGTGTTCCCATCTAAAGATCATTTTGTGTTAGACAAAAAACAAAAAAACAACTTTTTGGCATTCAATGATTGTCTGGAAATGGAAATCAAACAGGCTCTTCGTGTTATACTCATCTGCTGGTAGATCAGAGAAAAGATCATAACAATGCAACAATCACGGTTATTCCAATTTAAATCAGAGTATGGCGTGTTGGAGAAGGGGCAAAACCAAACCAGTAACTTTGCTTTTTTTAAATTCTGCCTTCATGGCTTTAAATAAGTCCTAAATGTGTTGGAATGAACTGGGAACTGAGAATCACCTTTCATGGTGATTTACTCTCCAAGGCAGTTTAAGCTTTACAAAATTCACATACAAAACTGAACCTGAAGAAATACATTCAGCCACTGAGGACTAACAATTTCTAAACTTCAGAGCATCTGCTTCTTCTTACTGAGAACATCCAGACTGAAGCAAGGCTAGAAAATGGAAGAAACCTCCAGAAAGGTTAGTAGAAGCAGCTCAGTCGTAGTAAAAACATTACTATCCTTTGCTAGGCACTTAGAGTGAGGAAATACCCTTCGTTCAGGTTTCACTTAATGTATTCTTTTAACCAAGCACACTTTCATATGTGCTAATTACAGACCAAATTCTCATTGATCTAAGCTTTTCTTCTGCTACCTAAGGCAAGGAGTAAAGACAACTGATATTAAAACACTTTACATGCATCTGCCCACAGCTGATGGAGCAGATATATGGACTGGAGATGCTGTATGTCACAAATCTTCCTCATTTACAGAGGTCAACTAAAGTCAAAATATTGTGTTATGTTCAGGAGATCACCTGAACGCTACATTAATTCCAACAAACAATTTCCACGAGCAGACAAAGAAAATGAGAAAATGATTTCCAGAGAAGGCAGGATACAGGAGTGTAGGGATTGTAAAACTCCCTGTAAAACCTCCCCTCCCAGATATTTTTAAGAGCGATGCCGATATTTGTTGATTTAAAAATTTGATATATAGGCTGATATTTTCTTTTTCTGTCAGACATAAAAAACATAAACAGATTTCATTAACATTTGTTATGCTTAGCTATTTGTCAGTGTGTTACATTGTTCAGCAACACAGTAATGTAACAAGTTACTGTGCTAAATTCAGTAATCACATCACGACGTGCATTACAAATCTGCACAAAATGGGAAAATAGAAAAAAAGAAGAAGTGGATCTTACTTTAGACTTCACCTCTGACGTGTTTATTTATTTAAAAAGAAGTTTGTGGTTTCAATCCCAGCTGTGCTCATTACTTTTACTTTTATTTTGGAAAAACATGTTTAAAACTATCCAAAAAGAATAATACCTATATCACATTGAGTACGCTGATGTCTTGTAGGCACTAACAATGGAACAATTATCATTATGCTTTAGCAGTGAATCTGTCCCTGGATAAACCAACAAGTAGATTTAAAAAAAAATTAAGTGATTGCATTTTAATAAACTGAAACATTTTCCAAATCTCAAAAGCTATTTTCTAAACTATTAGTATTTCTCATGATGTTAATTATTATTTGGTGAGGTTATCTGCTGGTCTAAGATCAGAATATTACTTTGGGCACTGTCATCAGTCAGATTAGGTTTTCTCATTTTGGTGATTAATCTTCCCATTTTTTAATCATTAATTAAACATCCATCCATTCGCTTCCACTTATCCTTTTCAGGGTCGCGGGGGGCGCTGGAGCCTATCCCAGCTGTCATAGGGCGCAAGGCGGGGTACACCGTAGACAGGTCGCCAGTCTGTCGCAGGGCCAACACACAGGGACAGACAACCATTCGCACTCACATTCACTCGCACATTCACACCTAGTGGTAATTTGGATTATCCAATTAACCTATCCCCACAAGCTGCATGTCTTTGGACGGTGGGAGGAAGCTGGAACCCGGAGAGAACCCATGCAAACACGGGGAGAACATGCAAACTCCACACAGAAAGACCCCGGCCTGATGTTGGAATTGAACTCAGGACCTTCTTGCTGTGTGGCAACAGTGCTAACCACCGTGCCACGGTGCTGCCCATCAATTAAACAATTGTACATATTTAAAAATATAAATCTTTCAAATTCACTGCTGAGTTTCAGTCACAAGCCTTGCTTCTTATTCCTGTTACAGATGACACCTCATGCCCTCTGCTCCGCTTGGCTCTACTCATCTGCTCACCCAGCTCAGCCGTTCTGCCTTGGTATGTAAGGTCCAAGTATAGAAACTATTGACACTGCTCAGTTTCTATGAGCCTGCATCAGTACTGTCAAAATGTTCATCTGCATCATTCAAACAAGCTCCAAGTCCCATCTGCTGCCACAACTCTACATTAACACTTCTAATTGATATGTGACGATTAGAAAAACACGTGATTGTGTGCTGAGGTAAAGTACAATACTGAGAACTAAATTATCTTTGTAACAGAACTCAAATGATCTCTTCACTATGTGTTTGCATATTTCCAGTCAAGTTAGCAAATACTGCTAAAAGCTCTACACTGAGTCCTCCTCCCTAACCAGGAGATTTAAAGTCATTCCAGTGACATGTCACAGTCTAGTGTCAAGTCACGTTTTTAAAAACAAAACAGCCGGGAATGGCAGCGAAGAGACAGACTGCACAGCTGTCACGCTGGCAGCAAATGGAAGACACATTTGTGTAATGTGTGTACTTCGTGTGTGTCCAACATCAGCGACACATATGAGGGTGAAGATATAAAAATGCCTCTTGATATACTGTACTTTTTAAAAACACCACCACAGATAAATGACATATGTAAAAGCAACACCTCTCAGACTGTGTCAGCAACAATGAGACACTGTAAACGTCACAAAGAGGGCTGTGTACATGTTTAGCTGTTCTTTCTAAATATCAGTGTGTAACATCTCACATTTGGGGGATGACCTAACTACTTGATGTGCGTTACTTAGGGCTGAGAACCAATAAGCATATTTCCACTAAAACTGAGACGCTGGAGTCCCAGGAACTTTTTCCCAAAGAACTACAAGGTTCCTTCATATTGTTACTTGTCTGTGTTTCTATAATACTCTCTTTTCCATTAATGTTTCAGAGCTTATTAGAAAGAAAGAAAACATCCAAAACAGCCTCCCAAATGTTCCTAGTTCTTAGGGCAAGTGGTTCCAGCAGTGAAAAGGCCCCAATAGTTTAGCTGGAGTAACTGTAGTATCTGTATTTATACTTCAGATATGAATCTAAAGCCTATGACATGATTAAAGTGAAAAACAATCGATATGTGACGAAAACTTTCTAAAAAACACTATGGGCACTGGTAATTCTTTTTTGTTGGCACCACCATAAAACACAACTAAACAACTAATAAAACTGTGAATTCAATCTTCAGGAGTGCCACTGAAAAAACACTAGACTGTGAGCTTTTAATATTTCAGCTCAAACTAAATCAAACCATTTGATAGCAGTTACAAAGCTGCTATCACACTTAAACATACTACAACACCATTTATGGCATATAATTTGCATTAACTAACGTCATAACCTTTGGTACATTTTCTTAAAATAAATTTCCTCAAAACAAATCTCAACAAGGGAATATCTTACTCTTATTAAATGAATGCATTTTTTAAAACTCATGGGAAATGAGTGGAAACCAGCATTGCACTGGAAAGTAAAAGATTTAAAATGATACACATGGCAGCTGTGTGTGTGTACCTTTTAACTCTCTGGATTACAAATGTACTGAGAGGGTAGGAACATTACAATTCATGTGTACACACAAACGTATTGATGATATTGCACTTAGATGTACATGATAACAAGGCGTACTATCCAACTTACCTCTGTTACACACAGACAAAGCGAGAGAATAAATTTTTATTACCCACGCATCCTGAGCCACTGTGCTTTTTGCTTTTAACCAGCAATACCCATTTTTCACTCTTGCTTCCTCTTCTGTCTCACCAGAGTGGGCTTACAGGGATCTACTCAACCCTCTACCCCCATTTTCAACTCTCTTTGTCATTATTATGGAGTAGTATAACCCATTTGATGAAGCTTCTTCAAGAGAATCTGAGTGAGGTCAAAGGTGGTGAAGCTAATCCCCACTGCAATAGGTCCTTTAACCCAGTTCATACTGAGACCTTTGTAGAGTCCACGGATAACCCCTTCCTCGGACACAATCTCCCTCATGGTCCCCAGGATGGTGCGGTACGTGTGACCTGTGACACCCGCAGTCTGCATCCGCCGCCGTACTACATCCAGAGGGTAAGACGCAGACTGGCCGATGAGACCTGCACAGGCTCCAAAAGCCAGGCGTTCGTATGAGTAGGGCTGCTGGCGGCCGCTGTGCTCTGCGTGGAAGAGAAACGTGTGAGGTTTAAGTACTGTACATGAACAGCAGCTGTGCACAGAAGGAAAGGAACAGGGCTAGATCAATACAGATAAACATGTGGCTGTTGAATACCTGCATGCAACTTCTTCAGTGTCTCATAGGTAAAGAAGCTGAGGCCAGCATAGGGGGCAACACCCAGTATGGTGGGAGTAAAGCCTCGATACAGTGTTTTCATGCCCTCTTCTCGAGAGATCCGCACAAACACATGCAGAATGTTACTGTACCTAAAACAGAAAAATATTAATAATATAAATGTGTTTTAGTAAAAGATGGATGAGAAATTCAGAAGAAAAAAAAAATTGTACTTTACATCTTAGATCATAGAAGTTGACTCAGTCTGCACAAGTGTGCAGTTAAAGTCCATTAGAGGCTAAATAGGATCACACAATACCCCAGCTGACTATACAGTGAAGATGTGAAAATGTGCTGTAGTAATATCTTCTGCATTATGGTTGCACAACCAACTATGTTTATTCTCAAAACAAATGAACAACATTTCAGGTTTTTAGTGATGAATTTGTCTAAAGTGACATAGTCACACATAAAAATCTATAAATGACTCAAGAAATTGATTTAAAACACAATTACACAGCTCTGAAGACAAAAGGAGGTCTAGCCCAGTACAAGCAAGGTGTACCTAATGTAGTGGCAAAGTGAGTGTATGTATAACTACCCTAAACATTAACCATGTTTCATGACCCTTGGATTGTTTTGCTGATGCTATTAACTCCCCAACTATGCCCAGAAGACAATTTATAATAACTTCAAAGTTGGCTTACATTTCCTTTGGCGTTACAGCCATCCTCGCACGCACCATATCAAGAGGATATGTCATCATGGCGGCAGTGGTACCAGCCATGGACCCAGCCAGCAACCTTGGGACTGGAGGTAGGGCACTGCAACCAAAAAAAGGAAAAAACCCATCAGCACTTCAGCCCTTTTATGTCTTTACATAAGAAAACATTTCATAAACAAGCAAAACACAGATACGTACTTTCCCTGAAAGCCATAGTAGCCTCCCAGCAGGCCCTTGTACTGCTCGTGTGCGCAAAACTGGATGGCAGCGTACGGGATGACTCGCACCATGGTGGCAGAGTTTCCCCTCCACAAACTGAAGAAGCCCTCCATCAGGTAGGTGCGGTAGATCAACCTGTAAGCTTCCTTTAATTCAGTGTGCACAAAGATATACTTGCTCACATTAACACGAAATTAACATGATGCACAAATATGTGTACCCAGTTTTATTTCTGCTAAAAAAAAAACTAAAAAAACAAACAAACAAACAACAACAAAAAAAACGCTTATAAATAGGAAGCATGCTCAAACATACCTTGGCAGAGAATCTTGCAGAAGACACTGAAAAACAAAATACATAAACAATATAAAAACCATACCACCCTTATTTGTACAGCACTTTAAAATAAACCAGGGTTCACAAAGTGCTGTACACATACAAATGGCATAAACAGAAAATAAAATCAAAGATGTTAAAAATAGAGATTCTTTAAAAAAATCTGCAGTTTCTCACAAGTCCAGTCATTTTTTAAGTAATATCAATAATATGATTTTTTAGGTATTTCCACACTAGTCCCAACAAGATGTAATCATATATATCCTTTATTCAGGTCACTGTTGTAAATTAGCAGAGCAGCCAGCTTGCCTTGGAAGATGATTTTAGTTCTGTCCAATGGGGCGACAGCTGTCTTGGCTACAGCTCCTGCTAAAGCCCCCGAAAAGAGCGAGTTGATAACAGACCGAGTCTGTTTCATCCCCTGCAAAGACAAATAATCACATTTTAGGTTCAAACAGAGACACTGTACATTTGCAAATTGTTGTGTTTGCTATAGTGTTGATCAGTAAGCAGGGGTTACATCAGGATAACAGTTGACAGATAACTAACCAGCTAACAAAACCTCCCAAATAGAAGCAGATGTGGTTAAATGAAACAGAGGGGTCATGAAGCTCCAAAGACCTGCTCAGTTCATGAATTTCATTTTCAGCTAACAGAATGAGGGGTCTCTAGTGCACAGTACAGTACTAAAATAGTGTTACAATGCCACTATATTCTGCAAATAACATATGACTTGATAGGATGCAATCACAGAAGTGATGGGACAACTGTGGGGGAATGAATAATCATGTAAGAAAATCCATTTAAACATAACTGTATGATAACATAGGCATATTTATATATCCATTACACACATACACAATTTTAGAAATGCATGCATGCAAATAAATATATCTAGCTAAACTGTCTAACTATTCAATTTAATAGTTCAGTTAGTAAGATAAAGTCCCTACAATAACGCAGATAAAACCCCAACAATTAAACGACCCCCTAACTGCAAAAACCTGGTAACAGTGTAAAGGAAAAACTTCATTTTAACAGGAAGAAACCTCCGGCAGAACTGGACTCAGGAAGGGGCAGCTATCTGCCAGAATCCGTTGGGGGTGACAAAAATGGCTGACTCCAGAAATAATTGTACAACCCCCTGGAATGTCAACATTAACACAATAATGACTTTTTTTTCCTCTAAACACAATTAGTCACAATTAAATAAAATGTATTAACCAAACCTGAGCTGTATGATTACCCTGATCCTGTATAAATGTGCTCACCTCTGACTGACTGGAGGAAGCCAGTGGGAGCACTTCACCCTGTGTGAGTGATGCCCGTTGTTCCTGGACTCCACTCCCCATCCCCGAGGATTATGAACCAAGCACGCTCATGAATTGAACCGCTGGTGGCAGCGGTGATGCTGGTGGGGAGTACAGGAGGCTAGAAGCTACAGGGAAGAAGGAAAAAAGAGGAAAAACAAACAGTTAAGTTTCATGTCAGTCTAAGTATTTTTAAACAGATTTTCCTGTTACAGCAAGGAAGTTGTTTGAAAACCCTTTTTCCTGGTATGCCTCACCTCAGAAAAAAATGTTCATACTCCACATTACACAACTTTTAATGAATCAGAACAAAAAGAATATGACGTCAGCACTGTCATCCACTCTTTGTTTATTTTCTCTAAAATATTCTTATGTCCTTTTACCTGCTTGTCCACCCGCCACAGTTTGATAACCAGTGCTCTAATTAGACTGCATGATTATTTATGGCCTCAATGAATCATAACAAGTACCACAGAATCAAAGTCTGGTCTCAAATCTATTCTACTTAACCGCCCTCTTTCTTATATGCTTACAACATGAGTTGAGAAACAAGATGTTTATCTGTACACAATAAACTAGAAATACAATACACACCGATGTGAATAACTACCTCAAGAATAGCCCACTTACTCTGAACCACCTGCCCTCATGAAAACTGCAGCTAAGTGGAGGCACAATAGATCACTCCTGAAGGACAGAGGACTTGTAGGTGAAAGGTGTCTGAGTGACACAAGCACTCCTGAATCCTCTCCCTTGCTGGAAACAAGTTTGCAGTGTAACCACAACTTTGAACATTCAGGACAATCCTCCAGATCTCATCGATAAAGACAAGTTGACCTTTAGAAGACAAACATTATTTAGAGTGAACTCACTGATTTTAACAATAGAGGTATTTGCATGGCTTTAAAGAACTAATCACTTCACCACATAGATCACATATTCATGTAATGTTCAACCCATCCACTCTGCTTTATCAAGTCCAAAGCTATCAAATATCTAAACCTGAGCTGAAGAAACACCAACAACAAGATGCAAATTAGTAATTCACATCCAGTCTACACAAGATCTACAAGTTTCACACATTCAGAAGAAAGAATGAAAATGATCAGCAACTCTTTTTCTTTGGGTTTTCATGTGAAGAATTTTACTTATTTGTGTTTTTTGTTTGTTTTTTGTCATCATGGGACACACGGATACTTCATCAGTATAAGATCAAATCTGCTTATGACTATGACTAATGTTTATCTGTTGTGTAACATTCATTTTATGCTGTATAATTCTTCAAGCATGATGAACAGCTGACTTGCCCTAAAAGTTTTTCTTGTTTACAGTTTTGCCAACAAACTAATACTGGCACTGGTATGATTAAGTGATGATCTGCCCTTTCAGATTTATATTATTACAGAGAATATGGGTCACTTAGTTTTTGATATACATACAAGCTCAGTACAGGATTTGTGGATGCTGAATATTTGTTAAAACATTAACAAAACAGCCCTTAGAAACACCAGAGTTCAAGAAGAAGCAGTGAGAGGCTGGCGAGAGACAACAGTGAAACTGTAAACCGAGGGTTGGCTCAAAAGTTGGGTCAGAGGCAGCAAATACTGGCAGCAGTGCAACGGGCCTTGTACCCACCTTTTCACAGCAGCCACCATCCCAAATCTCAGGCCATCTCACACCCCTCCCTTAAGCTTCTTTCCCCATGCATATCATCTTACAGTTCCTTATTCCTCACTTGTTTCTGTCCTGCTATGTCTAATTTGTGTGCCTTAGGCTTCATTACTCTGTAATACAGGACAGCATTCCCATGCTATACACATGCAGCCTGTGGAGATTTTATAGAAAGTGTATTATCAAGAATAAGGGAGTCAAAAAAGGCAACTTAATACTTATGGGTAAAGCGTGGGTTTAATTTTGTGCTGTATTTATCAAGAATAAGTCCATGAAAATTATTGGAAGTCTAAGTGGAAAAAGTTGAGAGCAAAATATGACCACATGCTAGCTGTGGGAAACAGAAAATACATAAGCATAAATACTCAAAAGGCATCACAATTATCTGCGGATTATCTGAATAATCAGCAAATGTAAGAGTGTAGTGTTGCTGGAGAGAAGTGGATCATCAACATCATGAGCTGCTCATGTTGCCTGCCTCCTTAATACATCAGTTTTGTAACAGCGCCGTGTCCCATATGTTGCCATTTGCCTCGGCATTTATTAAACTGTAAACCAAAGCACGGTTACAAGTCAACATTACTGCAGTAGAAGTGGACACTTATTCATTAAACGATCACCATGCCTCGCCTTTCTGTTTCTGCCCGCTGCTCCAAACCTGTCGACACATGCCCGCAAACAAAACACAGCCACCCTCTGAAGCCAGCGACCTGTCACTGCTTACACAAACACATTGCTTACCTTATAAAGCCGACACCGGCATCAAGAGCTGTCACGTTTTGATATCCCCTCTACTGGCGCGTTATTTCCAGCCGTTAGCAGTTTCTTCAGGAGTTATTTCTAAGTTAGCCAAATACCAGGTTAAGTAAGGTAAGCTAGCCGTTAGCCCGCCGTTTAATTCGCGTCTATTTTCTCGGTAACAGCGTACTGCAAATGTTAACCATGAGCTAATGTCTTGACTGGAAATGTGTCCTAATGTTGAAGGTGCCTTTTAAAATACGTTTCTCACATGCTCTAGAGCTGCAGTGACTCTAAGTGACAGGCTTCCTCCATTGTGGGCTCTGCCGTTACTACTCCTGTCAGCCAGGCGAGGCGGTTCGCAATGACCACAGTGAGGTTTGACAAGGACGAGCGCAGGTGCATTGTGGGAAATGAAGTCTCAGTGAGGTGCGGCACGCTTGGATAGGTCAGTTAGAGGGGCGTGAGTAGGAGAGCCACTTAGCAGGCAGTGGGCCTCCTGCAGTTTCTTGCTAGAGATACAGGGTCTGTTACTATCACACACAGCTAGATAACAGAAGATGGTATCATACTGTGTTAAACTTTAATGACAAATTTACAAACTAAAAGTAAAGCATGTGTAAGGCATTCAAAACATGTACAATTTGGCCCTGCCAACACAGGAAATAAGTCACCACTTACAGAGCAGTTGCATAGCAGCAAATGCACTCATACAACATTTTACAAAAACACTTAAAAGAAAAGTTTTACATAAATAATAAAAACGCATACAACAGCACTACAAAGGCCTTTTTGTACTTATTTATACTGGAAAACACTTTCAAATCTTGCAAAAGCATCGTGACTGGTCGTGTGTTGATTCACACTGCCTGAAATGCTTTTCAGCAAATGTACTGTGCAAATATGCCTCACTAAGAGAGTATTTGCTTCTACTATGTTTATATGTTAGATATAAACATGACAGGATTACATTTTAGCCAAAATTGCACTCAGGGAGACATATTTAAGTGTTTGTGGCAAGTAGAACAGGGCCAATGTTGTTGGTTCAAATGTGAAATGTGGGCAGATTTTAGCTGGGCTACCACTAAAACAGGGATAGATTGTGGGTAAGATTAAACCCATTTACATCTGCTGTGTTTACAGACCTCAAAGAAAACCCTAGGACCACAGGTTGTTGTAACTTTTTGTTGAAATACAACAAATTAAATTGCTGGTTAAAAAAAATCATCTTGAAGCCTCGAGTCTCACTATCTTTGTATTTTCAAACCTGACAAGACAAGAGAGGGGTGGACTCACCGAGATAACAAGGGTCAGGGCACTTTCTCATTTACAAGCCTGCCACACCCTAAAGCACATCCTTCTTTGTCCCTCTTCATGCATTTAATGACCACATGTTTTCAACCAGATGTGAAACTAAAGCTGAAGGCTTTTCTTCAAATGCTTTCAAATGTTTTTTGTCTTACTTCAGCTAGCTAGGCTACTGGCTATCAGTACTACTAACAAAGTATCAAACATGGTATCTTAAACCTGGATTAATTTTAATGGACACCATAAGGCATCATCTGTGCCTACAAAAATACTATCCCATAGTCCTATAGAAGTCGAAAAGGGAAAAAGAACAACAATCTTGACTTTTGTAAACCATAAACTGATGATTTTATGGGCTCTGTCACATATTTTGGGACATACTGAATAAAAAACTCAGTCTATTTTGTAAATTTTGGTCATCTTAAGTGTCAGAAACGAAGATTATTCAAGATAATCTCATTAGCTAAACAACTGTGATTGATTGCCAGTAAGCACGTGCTGTCACAGTTCCCTCCCTCACTCATCACGTCTGATTTCAAAACATCAAGATGGTGATGGCAAAAACTCTCAGCTTGAGGCATCAAAACAGGGCTTCACAAATCACTGAGTGACATCATGGTAGCGACAGCCATCTTTTATACTGTCTATGGCTATTGATTGTTGTACTTTAGTGGTTAAGTAGCTAACTAACAAGCTATTTTATTTTTTCATACGAATATGGAAGGAAGACTGACATCACCAGCGTCTCTCCTTCATCATGTGGCTGCATGCAATGGCAGTTGATGGTTAAGCCTCACCTAAACCTCTGCCGGGAAATGAAATCACAGTGGGCGGGACTGAATGTCTGCTATTAAACCCCCACCCCATCCCTGCAAGGTGTGTTGAACATTCCTTGCGAACCTTCTGCAGTGGTGCTGTGCTCCACTTTCAGTTGGTAAGGCTGCCATGTTTGCCGGTCCACAGCTCCCGAAGCTCCACCTGACATCCCAGATCTCTCAGGGCCGCTTTGCCTACATCACCGCAGTCTTGATGGTTCTGCAGCGCCTGGGCTATCAGCGTTTCTGCTCCCATCTCCAAGATTGGCTGGCTGAAGTTACGCATTCGTGCGACCAGATTTCTGAGCACCATACACCCTTGTTTCTGTAAAGAGCAGAACACCAAACGTGAATCACAGTCACAAAGACTCCAGATCCCAGGGAGCATATTGTTCACTGACGACATGATCTTACCTGCACGTTCACCACATCGGTATGAGTCTTCATAGCCTGCAGGGCAGCCAAGGCACCTCCATTCTCCATGATGGCCGTGCAGTTGTTGGGTTTACGTAGAGCAAGGACAGAGAGGCATGCACAAGCCTGCTCGCACACCTATGGCAGAAAGTGAGCACAATCTTAGAACATCTTAGAGGATTCTTTCAGTCAGTGTATCCCTCATTTGTGTGTTTGTTTGTTTCAATGCACAGAGACCAATTTAGCATGATTTAACATGTAGGTACAACAGTGACACTCACAGCAGAGTTGCTCATGTGCCTGTTCATGGCGATGACAATGAGCTGAACTCCACCGGCATTAACAACAGCGTCTTTCACATCATCATTTCCTGCTATGGCTCGGATCGCGCTAAGAACCTGCCGAACCAGCTCCTGCGGGAAGACAAACACTTCAGCGAAAAAAAACAAACCTGGACTCGATCCTCATCACGATCTTTGCTTCTTGTACGTTACCGCTGACTCATAGCTGTCTGCGAGCAAAGTCATCATGAGTTTTAATCCACCCATATCACAGATGTCTTGACAGAACTCATTCCGTACAGCCAGACGGGATAAAGTCGCACACAGCTCACTCAAAACAGAAGTGTTGCCAAGGTGAGCTGCATGGAAGATATCCAAGAAATCAAAATTATTTAAGTGTACCAGCAAATACAAAGCGACTAGAAAGCGCAGAAGCTAAATCTATATTGATATGATCAGCTGGCCTTACCTTTGGCAGCCTCAATCAACACCTTCAGTCCGCTGTGTTCAAGAACAATACTCTTGGCGTGTTCATGAGCGTGCCCAAACGTAACCCGCACGTCATCATCAAAGGTCATGACTCGGAGAGTTGCGCAGGCCTCCTTTACCATCTCCGCACATTCACCGTGCTGTGTGATGGCAACAGTGAGCAGCGGCAGGACGCCGCCTTTAACAAAATCCTGCCTGTTCTGTTCGTGCTTTAAACAGCAGTGCCGCACGGCACTGATGGCGACCCGTGTAACAGAAGACTCTGCCTGGTACTTCTTAAGGACATCCAATAGGAACTGCCGGCCCTCTGCATCCAGCAAGTCTGGCTGTCCATCCGTCAGCGCGGCCAGAGCAGACAGCGCAGCTAATGCTGCTCCCTGCTCCTCCGTGCTCTTTTTGCAGTAGGACAGGATGACGGGGTAGGCGTCTTTCTGGGCAGCGAGGTACCGCTGGGCGAATCCCAGTGAGCACTGCTCAGTGAAGTTTTTTAGGTCTGCTGTCACACCAGCAGAGTCTCTTCCAATTCGGAGGGACTCCAACGCCTGAAATGATTTAAAAAAAAAAAACATTTTTTATATAGATAAAACTTTGGAATAAGCATTCTCTTTTCAGGAAAACAGATCAAGACTCACCTGTAGGACCTCGTGTGTCTGCTCTTCTTGACTGTCAGCCGATGATAATGTTGGGACAGCTTTCACTATGCAACTGAGGTCCACACCTGCATGAACACATACGATTAGATTTAATGCTGACTCACAGCACAACATGAAGTTCACAAAAAAAAGCTCCAAAGGGCAACATAACTTCTTTATTGAACATTTTAACATCTCAGAAGTGGCAGTAACAACAAAAAAAAGCTATTGTAATTATCAGAGTGTCAGTGCACTCTCTTCTTCATATTTGACGGGCCTGGAGCCTTTCACAGGTCTCGCTGGGCGAGAAGTGGACTAACCTTGTGTGTTAATTGTTATTCAAGACAGAGTCTTCAAGCTGATTAAAGTAAGGACAAGGAATAAATTACTTTTTAGTACTTATTGCTTTCCCAACATTCCCAAAATGTCTTTACTGTAGCTTCTGTTAGAAGCAGCAAACCTCAGCCACGGGATCTATATATGAAGATTTGTTTGTAAAAAAAAAAAAAGAAAAAGAAAAGAAGCTTTGTATCAGTGCTTTGTGCACATTTGATTGAGAAATAAGTGAATTCATAAAGTTAATCTGTCATTATCTTTAAAAAAATAAGGAAAGTTAAATTCTGTGTGTGCTCCAACTTCCTCCCACAGTCCAAAGGCGTGGAGTTAGTGGGGTTGGATTAATTGGTGATTCTAAATGTGTCATATGTGTTAATGTGAGGATGAATAGTTGTCTCTCTCTCTGTGTTACTCCTGAAACAGACTGGCGACCTGTCCAGCGTGTACCCTGCCTCCCGCACTATGGTAAGCTGGGATAGGTTCCAGCCCAGGGGGACAGATAGATGGATGGAGCGACGGACAGATAGATGGCAGAAGCAAATGGAGAGGGTCACTGTGGGGTGGGGATAGGAGGGACAGCAGCAGTAAAAGTAAATTATAGCTGATTAAAGTCTGAAGAGAAAAGAAGCCAACTGATCCAGTTATGAAGAGTTTGCTACTTTATTGAGGATTGTGGCAGTGGGATATAGTTTGTAGCTTGGCTGTAAGAGGGAAAGGGATG